TGTGTGTGTGTGTGTGTGTGTGTGTGTGTGTGTGTGTGTGTGTGCGTGCGTGCGTGTGCATGTGTGTGTGTGCGTGTGCGTGTGTGTGTGCGTGTGTGTGTGTGTGTGCGTGTGTGTGTGCGCGCGTGTGTGTGTATGCACTTACCCGTGATATTCCAGCGTCCAGCTCTGTGGACAGGTCTTCCAGGCCGGTATCATCAGCTTGCTGGCTCGTCCCTGCGTGCGACAAACCGCGCACACAGCATCCTGGTTGTGCAGAGCTTCACCGGACAGGTGGCTGTCCAGGAACGGGTTGTAGCCGTTAATCTCGTGCTCGACGCCGTAGCTGAAATAACACGGATGAAAATGTTGGAAATAACACGGGAAACATGTGGGAAATAACACGGTATAATGTGGGAAATAACACGGGAAACATGTGGGAAATAACACGGGAAAATGTGGGAAATAACACGGGAAACATGTGGGAAATAACACGGGAAAATGTAGGAAATAACACGGGAAACATGTGGGAAATAACACGGGAAAATGTGGGAAATAACACTGGAAAACGTGGGAAATAACACGGAAAAAATGTGGCAAATAACACGGGAAACATGTGAGAAATAACACGGGAGAAATGTGGGAAATAACACGGGAAAAATATGGGAGAGCCGAGAGGTGGGAGAGGAAAGGAATGTGGGAGATGTGGGGAAAATGTACTCAACGCCGTAGCTGAAATAGCTGAAGTAGCTTCTATATAGCTTCTATATAGTTTCTATGTAGTTTCTATGTAGTTTCTATATAGTTTCTATCTAGTTTCTATGCAGTTTCTATATTGATTTTATATAGCTTCTATATAGTGTGTATATAGCTTCTAAATAGTTTCTATATAGTGTTTATATAGCTTCTATATAGTTTCTATATGGCTTCTATATAGCTTCTATATAGCTTCTATATAGCTACTATATAGTTTCTATATAGTGTCTATATAGTTTTTATATAGTTTCTATATAGTTTCTATATAGTTTCTATATAGTTTCTATATAGCTTCTATATGGTTGCATCTATAATACTCGCGCTATACTTACATGTAGTTTTTCCCCTGGAAGCCATCGGCATACCTTCCCCACTGTGGTTCGTTTGGAAGACACTGGTAGTCTCCTCCTCCTCCCGTGTGAGTGTGGTGAGAATTGCCAGCCACCCCTGCATAACAACACGCACGCACGCACGCACGCACGCACGCACGCA